CATTTAAAGTGCTGGACACACTGCACTACTACCAGCGTTTGATAACTCTATGCAGTGCAAACAAACAAGGAGATCTCGAAAAGAATCAGCAAATGTTTAATGTTTGATTTTTGCCAGAAAGTACCTAACCTGTAAAAGTGATGCAGACTTTACAATAATCAGCATTAAAAAAAAAGATATAAAATAAGTTGTCTGAAGACTTTGGTTTGTCACAAATCCATACAATTTCTGCTGAAAACCAAAAAAATTACAGAACAGCTGCCACTGTATACAGCACCACTCTTCATTCTTAGACAGTTTCTTGACTATAAGCTTATTAATGAAAGTAATGATACCTTAGAATAACTGCAAAGAGAAGATGTTATAGAATTTCCATGAAGAGCCAATGATATATTTTACAATGCATGAATTACACGCTTCTTCATTTTGAAATTAAAGACAAATCATTTTATAAACCCAGCATGTTGAGTTAAGCATTTTAGATAAGTCACAAAACTATTTTATCATCTGCAAAAAAGAACTGCCACCATTACAGCAAGCAACCTTGCTTTTTCCCATTTCATTGGCCTAGCCACAAAGGCTGAGTCTTCATTACCCACCCATTATATATGTTGCTTTGCCATAGCTAAAAATACAAACTAAACAATTAATAAAGCTTACCCTGACTCTGTTGGGCCCAATCTTCTAGATTAATTTCTGTGTGAAATACTGAAGTACAGATTTCATCTTCTTTAGCACAGGAGGGATGTGCAAGGATTTTTTTTCAGCTAAATTTAATTGAGTTGTATTTAAAGGCAATCTAGTTTCATGTGTCTCATAGTATAACACCTCACACATGAAAGTTAAAGAAATTCACTTGGTTAAATTACATAATCACCATATATCTCAAGAAATAATGAAAGGGGAAAGTGTAAGGTGTGACTCACAAATAAATATGCTGTTTCCTATGTCTGTTATTATTTTTAACAACTACTGCCCATAGAGGAGAATTAATCACATTCTCAAAGATAAAGCTGAAGGCCCTGAAGTTCAGCAGCCTCTGCAGACACCATGTGGCAAGTCATCTAGAACTCTGAATAAGAATAAAGGATCTAGATTTTCAGAGCTAGTGTCTGCCTGTGCATGAATTATTACACTGTCAGGTGACTAAGGTTAAGGGTATAGTCTGGAAAAAAACAGTCTCCAAGCATCCTAATTGTTTCAGGTATCAAAAAGAAAAACATCAGTCATCGTATTGACATGTATCAACTGGAAGTATAAGTTCCAGCAGTAACTTGCAGTCTGTACACTTAGCATATACAGAAAAGGACTAATATTGCAAAGAACGAAACATCAGATATGAATAACTTGTTTTCAAAATGAAGAAAACAGCCAATATCCAGAAATAATGAAGTGTAATGGACTTTACTAGAAGGATGATTTTGTTACACAGAGCACAGGGTAATGAATTTAAGGCTGTTTAATTAACCCCTCATTTACATTTCTGGTGTGAGTGTGTCAAAGGGCTGTGTTGTGCCTGACAGGCTGGGACACTTCAGTTATTAACGATTTTATACCCAGAACTTGTGTTTGATTCCACAGTCACATTAAAAGCTATAAATAAACAGTTCCCCTATATAATGTATTTACATTTAATTAAAAAAGCAAGTAAGACCTGAAAAGTAAGGCACTAGCATGTTACAGAAAAAAAAATCAAGACAAAGATCAAGCTGCAGGAAGAATATAAATCTAAACTATGCAGAGTTTTGTCAGCACAGTACACCAGAAACTCTATGATGCACATGATCTCTACAGGAATTACCCTTGAAATAAAGGTTCATTAGCAGTCTTGCTTGTCTACTATTTATTTAATACATCCTGACATCTACTGGAGACTTTCTAAATATCACCCATAGCAAATTCTGTGTCCCTGCCTTAGTAACTCAAACTTTAGCAGAGAAATAAAAGCAGGTGACCTTATAAGAGTAGTAGTAAGTTTAGCCGAAATGTTTTAACTACACATTGCTACCATCATTACGCACGTACGTCCAACATTCAAACTGAGATTTTTGCTCAACAACAACCATTCAGACCTCAAATGCTTGTTCTCTCCCCAACAACAAAAATGAAAGGATGCACCACAATTCTGTTTCCTCTCAACCAAGAAACCCTTTCATCCAAGGTATACAGATGGACAGGATGCAAACTGTGCATATGATTGACCTAGCTCTGAGAACTCCAGCACCAGACAGATTATTCAAACAGCAATTTTTTAAAAACCATTCTTGAGAAGATTTGACATGGTATATTCTTAATATATTCAGTCTGGTTTTGTTCTCCCTGACCTCCCAATAAAGACATCATGAGCAGAATGCCTACAGTTTGTTCCAATGTCCAGTCACAGAAAGAAAAATGACATTTTAGAATACTCAATATTTTCTTTTGCTAGGTCCCTGCAAGTAGGCACATCCTCTGTGCACTGTTTACCAAAGTAACTTTGAATTCCTTGCTTATTGCCCTGATGTTCCAAAATCACAAAGACACTCAAGTTTTTCAGCAGGTTTCCGCTCTTTGCTTTTCCTATGCCTGCCGTCATTACTTCAATTTACCAGTGTTACCAGCCATGCATCCTTTCTGAAATCATGTGTGCTTGTCAGCAACTTGAAAAATGCAAGCTTTACTTATCCTGGACTACTACTCTTCCAGAATAATCAGCTCTTTGAAAAAATGCAGTTTCTATAAACAAAATTAATGTTAAAGTACAACCTATTTCAGTTGATTTTTCAAATATTTTCTTTTTCCATGCAAACATTTTCTTATCTATTATTGAAAATGTTTGGAAGCTTTATTTTTATAGTATCCAACAAAAATACAAATGTTAATCAAAGTACAGGGTAATTTTATCAAGGTATTTACTTCTCTTTACTTACCAGCTGTATCCAGCCATGATGAGAACAAACGTAAAAAAAGGTTCATGTTTTCTACGTTCTGGTGGCTTCCTGTGGTTCTGACAGACTATTCAAAACAAATAAAGTGTAAATATACAGATACATGCATATATTTAAAGTGGATTATTCAAAGTGGATTATTTAAAGTGGATTATTTAAAGTGAAATATGTTGTCTGCTTACCAGATCTAATGAACTTCATACCCTGTTAAAAATTCCTTGTTCAGTGGCAACATTTACTTACCACTTTATATTCTTCTTGAAACTATCTGAACATCTTCTAAAGTTACGATAAAAGCACGGTGGAACTTTAAAGTCTCTCTTCCATATTGTCTCTTACTTGGAGACATATTTCACAAGGCAAAGTTCTGTAATGTATATATGACTCTGAATACAAATCCATTGAAATTATGAGATGGAGTCAAACCAATCATGTCTTTTTAGCAACTGACATTTGTATTCATGTAAAATATACAAAACTTAGCCTCAGAGGAAATACTAATCTGCCACAAGGCTTAAAGTGGCATTTAACTCCTAGAGGCCAGGATAGGAAGAGTGAGAAGGAACTTGTGCTGTAGCATTCTTATGCCTTCTTCAGGAGCATTACTAATTTATTTAATAGACAGTGCTGAAATAGATGTGCCTAAGAAGAGTCACACTAGAGCAGCATAAATGCTTTTTGGCCTGGGGTCACAGACATTACCTCCTGTCACACCTTATACCTGCAAGTAGTGAGCTCAAGCATAATATTATGCTGGTAAACCACACCTATAGAGCAGTATATTTGGCAATTGGTCATACTGGTGTTTAACGACCATGGCCTTCCTTCAAAGCCTACCTAGGCAGTTAAAAACCTTTAACGTTAAAACCTATCCAACATTACTTTTTAAGAACCATTTCTTCACTTTAACCAGCTAACTATGAGTTACTTCATAAAACAAGGCTTCTGTGAAATATGATAATTCTGTAAGATGGTACATCATTTAAAAATAAGCAGAACATTTCTAACCTGAAGCTCATTCCAGAGCACTGCCCTCATTGCTTTGCCTTGGTTTTTAATTGCTTCCTCCTTAAACTGTTGATTTTCCAGTATTGTATCAAGTTTATTAATTTCCTTTATAGCTGCTTGAATCTGAGGACCTATATCTGTGTCTTCAGAATATTTCAAGTTGCAAGGGTTTGCTGCAGAATACATTTAAAATTAATGTTAGCTTGAAGCACTTCAACTTTAAAAAAAAAACGCTGAAAAGCAGTACAAGTAATTTGTTAACAACCACAGACAAGAGGACAACTCTTCTCAAGCGTATCATGTTAATTTCAAAGCCTGTTTGTGGCAGCAAAAAATACAGAAGTCTTTGCAACAGAATGCTGCATCAACTCTGAGCTGCAGCACTTGGATATGGAGGTGTGGGAGAGGAACTGACATCCATTTTGGGCAAGTGATTCAATTCAAATTTATAACAGATGAGTGACAACATCTCCACAGTATCAGTAAAAATCACAAAGTAAGCTTAAAAATAAAAAATTTCTTCGGCCTGACTAGTAGGGTACAGGTTGAAATTAATAACTCGGGTTAAGAGAGGCTCAGTAGTATCTCTACCTTTAAGTGTTAGAGAAGTTTCAGTCTTGACTTACATCTCAGTCAAACCAGATTCTGATACTGGTTCTAGAAAAATGTTGCTATGAAGAATAGAAAGGATGAAACATTTTGGAAACTACCATTATTTAATTAAAGTAGATGTCCGTATTGTCTCTTTTTCTTCTAAATATGCAGATTACAATTTCTGATCACTTTTAGCTTCTCCCCTTCCTATATTATATTCACGCTTTGTCCTCTTTTCTGGTCAAACTTAGCTTCTGTCTCGTGAGTAGAAGAAGCACTTGTAGAACTGCCTCTATCCTACAGACTTCCAGGTTTTGGAGTCCTTCAATACTCTTTCATTTTCTAATTCTTTGAGGTCAAATGCTTTACGCAGCCACTGACCCAAGCATTTACTGTGATGCATAGGTCTACTTTATTCCATAAAAGAGATGAGTGATACACAATGGGGAGCTATAGTAAGTGCCAGGGAAACCACAAGGACCAGTGGTAAAAAATGAGCACTTAGTTCAACAATCTTTAAATAATTCATCCAACACCTCTTGAATAGCACAATGCGTATACATTTTTAATTTGCAATATTTTCATAACTATGTAATATACACACAAATACATTACAGTCCCAAACTCTCCTAGAAGCATTAATCGGAAAAGGAAAATTAAAACATTTTATCGCACTGTTCACTTTATACACCTGAAAAGTAATATCTGATTTCAATTACTTGGTTTTCCTTGGGAAGGCTCACAGAATTTCAAAGCCTGTGCTTCAGTGGCATCATCTCCAGAATCTGAAGTAGACCTATATCCTGAAAAACACAGGGAAAAGCCTTTCACAATAGACCAGATACATTTTTGTCAGTTAGGCATCACAGAGACTCCTCAGTTGGTTAGTTTAAAAAATAGTATGTACTAGTATACCAGGACACATGTGAAACACAGGAACAGGAATCAAGGGATTTCTTTTGGCCTCAATTCTGTCATGAAATCTTAACTAAATTTGTCGAAGGTCTCCAAACTTCTGCTTCACATACTGGCCTTTGGACCAAATCATTACCATTTATAGAATGCCAGAAGAGCACCACTCAAAGCACTTCTGCAACTGCTGTAATTAAAATGATACATTGCACACTTTTATTTACAGTATTTTATTAGCATTAACATTGGTTAAATACTATAACTTGTAACCATAAATTCCAATTTTTTTTGACAGATGGACATTATTAGGATATGAAGTTTCTAACAAATGATTATGATCTCTGCAAAAAGTTTGTAAAAACACCTTAATGTGAACACTGTCTAACACGGTTTCACAGAACACAAGCACATGGTTTCTCCTGATCTTTTAGGCCATCACTAAGGTGCAGATCACAGCTTACAATGCCACAAGACAAATGCTGTGTTGTAGTGGCAGTAATAATACATTTATTTCAACGGATTCCAAATAGTGAAGAGAAGTAAAGGTATAGATTCTGACATCTTTCTAAAATTTTACCTATTTGCAACCTCTTGCCCTCCACCAATAGAATTTTACCCAAACTATACAACCTGATACAAACTTGATATTTGGTCTAGTCACAACACTGCCTCTCTGATAACCATCAGCCAAACTGACACGTGAATCAACTTAGCAAGTGCAAATTAATACTACCATAAAACCAGGAATCTTTTGAGTGAAGAAAAAGATAATCACAATACTATCACAAATGCTTTCACAAAGCCTAACAACAATTCTGTTCAATACTGCAGTGTATGTCTTAAACAGAAGAACCATTTTCAGGTCTGATACAGAGCTCTCTTTATTATATCACATTGATTCTAAAGCTCATCATTCCACAGACTACCAGATTTGGGATTGCCAGGCTAGGAAGCGATTCCAAAGGTTTATGCCATTTCTGCTGCAGCAGAGAGTACAGGCAAACAGTTAGGAGTCTGTGTATATAACAGCCACATCTATTTCCTAGCACTGTCAGTGCTCTGCATCAGGCAGCATCCCAATCTCTTGCTCATACTACAGAGGTTTTTAGAGTCTTTGAAGGGCTGAAAAGCTTATGCTTAATTTATCAGTCTAAAGAGGCAGCAGTTTTTCATTCAATAGCCTAAGAAGCTTAGGTCAGAACTTGGATTCAGAGTTATCTGATGTTACCCTCAATACCTAACTGTAAACCTTTAAGAAAGTATTTTAATACTTCTGTGAAACATCTGCATATGATCCCATTTTACAGACAAGTGAGCAGAGGTACAACACAATAGGACTAAGCTAAGTAAATCAATCTAAATCTCTAATTCCCAGGTCCCAGTTCTTACATATCAACAAATTTATCACATATCCCATTCCCAAAATTAAGTTAATCCCAAATATTAATTTTCTCAGAGGATGGATGAACACCTTCTTCCAACAGACCTTGTTGAACACCTTCTTCCAACAGACCTTGTCTTGTTCCTTCTTCCAACAGACCTTGTTGAATCCCTGGAGCTGACATTTCTTGGAATACCATGAGGTTTTTTTAAGCTTGATTCCAACAACCGCTGAAGGAGCCTTATAGTCAAAATTTCAACATGAGGATTGCTCAAATACTTTCTTTTAGTAAGTGTTATAAATTGCGGCCCAATAAATTGGCAGGAGCCAGTTCAATTAGGAAATTTATGGATTGAGCAAGGCTTCAGCAAGCAAACCAGCGCTGGGCGGCCGGGGAGTCTCTGCTCCGCCAACGGTGCACATCCTTCCCCGCAGCCCCGGGGTGAGGCTCTGCTGCTCCCGCTCCGCGGAGCTC